CTTTTATTTCCTCTGGGAGGGGCCATTCATCGTCCATCTGTGGCCTTCCTCCCAAGTCGACTTCTGTTCTTTAGCTGTTCCCTTCTTGTCTGGCAGCTCTGCGCATGCGGACACTGGGAACAGGCTCCAGCTGTTCTTCTGCCTCACTGATGTCTGACTCCGAAGGCAGCTGATAAATGTCAGAGTGTCCTGGCCCCCTCTCTGCCTCCGACACAGAGCCCTCCCCAGACTCCAGGATTGGCCCATGCTCCTCCCCAACCTCCCCACTGTCCAAATCGGTGAAAAATTGAAACCCGTCAGGGAGAAGTTTGAGAAAACGGGGTAGGAAGATTCTCCCCCCCCCTCCCGCCGGTTCCTGCATCCCACCCTGTGCCCCTTCCCATCCAGATGGCGAGGCATCTCACCTACACACTCACAGCAAGGCTCCCAGAGTTTAGCCAGGCAGAACGCGCACTGCCGACAGCAACGAGTACGATTGGCTTTGCACTGGCACATTTCCTGCCGGGAGAAGTCACCACAATATGGGTTACGGCAACGGCGATTTTCTCCCCCCCCTCCCCCAAAAATAATTCAGGCTTCTGCGTGCAGTCAACGCTCGCGGCCAAAGAGAGGCGTCACAGACCACAAACTGAAATAACAGGTAGTCCTCGACGTATGACTGTTTAGTGACCGTTTGATGTTGAAAAAAAGCGACTTATGACCGTGGTTCACCCTGAAGATCGTTGCAGCATCCTCGTGGTTGCCTGGTTTACAGACAGATGCTTGACAACTGGTTCACACTTACGACGGTTGCAGCGTCCCAGGGTTATGTTATGTCCCCTTGTGCGACATTCCGATGAGGAACGGGGAAGCCACTTAACGACCACATTACTAACTTAATAACTGCCGGGATTAACAAACGGGGCAACGAAAGTTGTAAAACGGGGCAAAACTCACCCACCAAAGGTCTCCCTTGGCAACAAATATTTGGGGCTCAGTTGTGGTCGTAAGTCAAGGACTACCTCTAATTATGACTCGTTTGTTTCTCCAACCCAAATGGTTGCACCCAGGTCAGGGCCCCCAGCATGCCTGTCGCAGCGCCTTACCTGCAGCAAACACTTGCTGACGTCACTGGCACAAAGTGCTTTATTGCACCCCTTGCTGTGGGCACCCAGAGCCCATGCGGCTGCCACGAAAAGCACAACCACCCACCAGCGCATGGCTGCCAGCTGTCCCTGCAAGGGAAGATAGATAGATAGATAGATAGATAGATAGATAGATAGATAGATAGATAGATAGATAGAT